AGAGAGAGAGAGAGAGAGAGAGAGAAAGAGAGAGAGAGAGAAAGAAAGAAAGAAAGAAAGAAAGAAAGAAAGAAAGAAAGAAAGAAAGAAAGAAAGGAAGGAAGGAGGAAAGGAAGAAAGGAGAAAAAGAGAAAGGGGGGAAAGAGGGAGAGTGAAAGGGAGGGAAGAAGGGAAAAAAGAAAGGAAAGGAAAGGGAAATGCTTAGTCCCAGAGGAAAAAAAAATAGAGTAGCTGTTAGATTACTATATGTCACAAGAGGCCTTGAAAATAACAACCCTTCACTTTCAAACAGGTTTTCCTTTATCATTCTAACAACTTCTCCTTTGAGTTTATTGGAATGGTTTTCTAGTCCAAACAATTCCTTATTTGAATAGAAGAAATATAGTGCCATTTCTAGCATACACTAGACACTTAGGAATAGAAGTTATCATAAATCAAGATGATAAACGCAAAGCGAAAGGAAGACAACATAACTATCATTTATTTAAATTGAAAGAAATCCATCATCTAAATCACAGAGAAAATATTTTCTGCTGAACAGAATTATCTTTGCTAGAAATGTGGCTCAGTCTTATTTTGGCTTCCTGTAAATGCAATCCAATATAAAGGAAACACAGACCTCTTGCCGTTTGTACCTATTGAAAAACTAAACACTTACAAGATTCAGTGCCATAATGATTACGAAATTGATACAGACGGCAGCAGCTGATGTCGCGAACTGCCAGTGTTGTTTGATGAAATTCCACTTGAACGAGGCAAACTGTTCCATGACAACTAGGCGATATACTACAACTGCGAACACTGCAGTGATCACCAGAGAAATCTACAATATGAAAGACCAGAGGTGACATCCATATTTTGCATCATTCACAAAACAAAAGCAAAACCATAAATTCCAACACACTGCCCCCAGAGGCTAAAGGAATTTACTTTTCCAAGAAAGGCTACATAAATTTAATTTTTCCTTTAAGGAACTAAGTTACATCAGAGTCAAAATAAATAGTATAAGATTTAAGTTATTTTATCACACTAACATGAGTATTCTGGTCAAATATCCACTTTCAACCAGAATGCTTGGTTTTGAAACAGGATAGCTAATCTATCAAGGCAACTCATGTAATTAATCCCACTTTATGTTAGATGATCTCTGCTTCTCTCCAAGAGTGTTTTACTTAAGGATATGCACAAACTCCCTGCGTAATTACTCCATGACCTGCTGTGATTTTGATTAAGAGTATATATTGCCAAGGTATTGAACAAGAGGTGGTTTCTTGCATCCTTGTGGGAGGTCACAGAATGAGTGGATATCCTAAAACTTCCTTCTAAACCTGGAATCCCACAACATCCTGATATTAATGGTAATACGTTACCATGAAGAATATTCCTGAGATAGAAACAAGAAGACGGCTGACTTTGTCCGAGGAAGGCTGATGTGGCTCAGGTTTTCCGCTGATGGGATTCACTCTCTCCATCTTGTAATACTTTGCTTCAAACTGTGGACGGAGTGTTTCCTATTAGAGAAAGTAAAGTTACCTAAATATTGAAGAAAAAAATACAAAAAAATCCTTCCAATAAGCGATACAAAATTCCTGGATTTTGGCCTACTTTTATGTCAAGTCTTGGCAAAGATGCAACTTTTTAAAAGTAAGATGCAAATTACTTTCCAAATAAACCCTAAACTATATTCTAATTAGCACAATTTTTCACTAATGTAATTAAAGGAGACATCATAGAAATGCTCTGAAGAAATTTCTTTGCATCGTCATCGATCTCTCTTATCTTCATAAAATGACACTGCCTCATTATTGAAATCTTGTTAATAAAAAACCATCAAGGGGAAATCTAATGATGTTCAGCTGCCTCCAATTTGGACGTTAAGGGCCATAACAAATTTCTGCATCATTTGTCACCCCAGTTTCCTTATCTCCTGGTGTCCTCACAGCTTACCTCCTCTTCTTCCCATTCAATAAGGTCCCAAGTATAGGTCAGTGTACTTCTTCTCCTTTTCCAAAACTCCAGGAAGACAGTGGCTATAAATAATAATATTATTATAATGCTTTACTCAACCATATCACATTCTTTCATTATCGCTTTTCTTCTTTGGGTTGAGGCATTTTTACCATATTACGTAATTGTTGGAATCAATTAAATTCATACAACTGGAATTTTATTTTCTCTCATTCTTTTTTGTTTTCCACTGGATTAAATAAGCAGAGATTTTTGTTAGCATGACCTCAACAAAGTGATGCTATAACAGAAAGTCAATGTTAGTGAGCTAAATATTTATTGTTCCTTTTGACTTGTTGGTGCTTATTCAAAATGATCTAAACTACCTAAATAAAGACCTCTACAGGAATGACAACGAAGGTCAGGTGCTTCTTCTCCAGAAGTCAGAGAGGGATGGGGTGTGGGAGAGACAGGACTAGAGCAAGGCTATCATGGTGGAAGGAAAAAAAAAATAGAGAGAGAGTTCATAAAAGACATTCTTGGATACATTATTCTAGGTGGACTCAGCATGTACTAACAGAGACTCAGTAAAAAAAAAATGCCTGAACCATTGTCTGGATTTTCTGAGTAAACAGTTAAGAGAGAGATTGTTCTCTTTTTAGTAAGTGGGCTTTACCTTACAGTATTCAAGACTTTGTGGACGTAACTAAGATCTTACATGTGCATTCTTAAAAATCCATGATACCATTAATCTATCCAACTATCTGTCCATTATGAAAGAGAAACATCAAAATGGAGTTGATGTTATCAAGAAAGCAGTCTAAAATGAAACCAGGAGGCCTCCAGGAAGCTGAGCTAATATACCTCTTCCATGTGAAACTGAACTTTTGAACTGGGCTAAAACAAATGGCTTCATCCTGATACGGTTCCTTAAACTGGCTCTGCATCTCTGAAATCTTTATTAAAAATAATAAAATTTTCACCTAGCAGCAGGCCTAAGCAATTAATTACATATAGCACGGTGTTAAGTCTGCCTGCCAGCATCAATCACGGCTTGTTCAAAGTAACTTATGCAACCCTTTTAAAAGCCCCCCCCCCTTTTCTGTCCTTATAAACTCTGCCTCTTTCTTTCCCATTCTGAAGATAGTTGGGCTTCTACCCAAATCTGTGTCCTCAATTGTAATTCCTGAAAGAGACCACCAAATAAAACTTTTATTTGCCTTGTAATTCTTGGTCAAAATTGATTAGCATTACAAGGTGTCAGAAGTAAGATCCAAAATGACTTGCCTCCTCCTTGGGCACCTCTGCAGGTTTGAATAATGTACGTACAAGAATCCTTTGCACTCTACTGTCCCCCTGGTGGTCCCAGATCATTGTGGTAAGTCCTCCTTAGTCCAAACCTCCCACCTTGGTTGAGGTGCAGGTTCTATTTGGGTGTCCTCTGTTGCCAGCTTCTTGTCTATGGGACTTAAAATGCCTCTCTGGTAATTACTCTTTTGAAAAATGGGAAGTTCACTTTCTAAGGAAACAATTGCTAAACAGCTATCTTCTAGAACTCCTGCTGCATTTATGTACAAAAATTATGAGCTCTTGTCTTGCAACTTTCTACCTCCCTGGATCATAATTACCTTGGATGATTGACAGTGAAACTGTCCAACTCAAGGCTCTTTTGAAATCCCCTAGTTAGGGTACCTACACAGTCAATTAAGAACAGGCTACAAAGCTAAGCAACCTGAAAGGGAAGCATACTTTTTAATAGGCATTTTGAGGCCTCCAAACAATAAGTGATTCAAAAATTGCTTTCTTCCAAAATAAATTCTAAATTAACCAAAGAAAATTCTGAGTTGCCTGAGACTTACTAAACTTGAGGAAACTTCTAAATGTTCTTCTGATGCCTCATTATCTGCATCTCTGCTCCTTTGCTGCCTGTCTGTTCTCCCCCTTTTATAATATGTGGATGACTTCCTCCTCTGCTCACCCTTGGAGGAAGCATCTCTTGAACATAGCCTCTACCTCCTCCAACAACTTAAAAAAAAAAAAGGGACATAAGTTATCCAAAGAGAAACTCCACTTCTGGAAAATTCAAGTTAAATATCTGGGATATTCATTACTGATTAAGGCCTCCACTGGATCCCACCAGGATCCAGGGCATTTTAACTTCTCCTGTCACAAAGACTAAAAGGCCAACTCAGAAGTTTCCTAGGTTTGGCTAAGTATTGCAGATTTTTTTTTTTTTGTCATGACTCAACCTTTATACTCTCTTCTCACGGCTGACCAGACAGAGCCAGTCATGTGGACAGAGGAATCCCAGAAAGCCTTCAATGAAATAAAAGGCAGTCTTTATGATCTGCCTGCGTTAGGGCATTCTGATTATCAATTACCCTTTTTTCTTTTTGTCCATTAAAAAGGGAACTGCCTCAGGTGACTTGACCCAATGACATGGAAGCCAACATAGGCCCATTGACCCTTTAGCCAACAGTTATTGGGTCGTCGGGAAATTCATGACGAGTTTTTCTATATTTTTCAATGCAAAAATGCGTGATGACTTTCCTGGGGACCAATAGTTCTGGTGGCCCAAGGTCTCCTTACCTGTATGGGAGCTATGGAGACCACTGTCAATTTACTATAACATGTGGAAGACATTATAATGGGCCAGCCACTGACTCTTTTTGTGTCTCATTTAGTGAAAGCCTTACTTAACTCTCATCACACTCAGCCCCCTCTGCTAGACTAACCTCCTATGAAGTTCTCTTATTGTCTTCATCTAATGTGTCTAGTGCTCACTGTAATACTATGTATGACCTCTGCTATTCTCCTCCCTCTGTGCTGACAAAGGCCCTCAGGACTGCTCGCAATTCACAGACCAACTACAAGCTCCTCAAATTAATTTACAGAAAACACCTCTTGAAAATCCTGAATTAGTTTGGTTTTCTGATGGTTCTTACCTAAAAGAAGAAACAAGCCACTATGAAGCAGGCTATGAAATTGTATCACTAAATGAAACCACTGAGGCAAGTGCAATGCCTTAGGCAACATTTGCTCAACAAGCAGAGCTCTAGGCATTAATTTGAGCTTGAAATGTGGACAAGTGGCTAACATTTATACTGACGGCAGGTACGCCTTTGGTGTCGCCCATGACTTTGGTATGTTCTAGAAACAGACAGGACTCTTGACTTCTTCCGGACAAAAGATAAAAAAACGGTTCTTATACTTTAGAACTCTTAAAGATTATCCAATTACCTAAATCTTTAGCAATCATAAAAATCCCTGGACATTCAATGGTCAATACGAAGAAAAACAGAGGTAATTACTTGGCTGACAGCATTAAAACAATCTCAGCCCCTAATGGAAGCACCAAAGCTACTGGTGAAAGCCATTAGGGATTTAAAACATAACATTATGGAAACACAGCATTTAACTGCTTAAAACAGAGTAGAAAGAAATGATTAGAACAAGGCTATAAATGTGACCCTATAAGAAACTTATGGGTAGGGCCAAACAACTGACCAGTCCTCCCTGATTGCATCTAACATCATTTATCATAATATGGACATGACTTAACTCACTGGAACAATGATCAAATGGTTTCACAGGGAAAACAGTGCCACCAAAGCCTAAAGCACAACCCTGGAAAACCCATTCAGACCCTTATGGGTCATTGCCCGTGCCTTCAGGACCCTTTGAGTTCTGGTAAATAGACTTTATTCAGTTGGCCCCTTCTCAAGGAGACAAATACATGTTAGTGGTGATTTGTGTGTTTCCTCACTGGGTAGAAGCATTTCCATGCCACAGAGCCACAGCATCAACAGGAAATAAAGCTTTCCTACTTGGGCTATCCCCTCAGAGCTCCGTAGGGACTTAGGAACGCATACCACAGGACACATTATACAGCCTGCTTGTTAAGATCTGGCTGATTTTGCAACATTTCCATTGTGTGTATCATCCCCAGTCCTCCGGACTTAAAGAATGGACTAACAAGGTAATAAACACGCAACTGGCAAAACCGGTGAAGTCTTTTCACCTGCCTTGGCCTAAGGCTCTTCCCTTGGTATTACTCAACCTAAATCTATCCTCTTCAGCAAACACAGGCCGTTTCTTTTTGAAATTATTACCGGTAGACGTATTAGATTAGATCAAGAAATGTATTAACCCTGCACAGCTGAAAGGAGGCCTCCTGACATACTGTAAAGAACTTTTAAGGGTCCTTACCACTAACTCACAGCTCATATAGCAATCTTTCCATAACACGCTTCTGGGAGGTGGAGATCTATAACACCATAATGTTCAACCGGGAGATTCTGTCTCTTGGAAACGCCATCTCCATAAAGATGCCCTTCAGCCCCGATGGAAAGGGCTGTATCATGTGTTATTAACTATCCTTTTTGGTGCTAAATTCAAGGGTACAGACTCATGGGTTCATGTTTCTCATTTAAAAAGGACACCCACACCTGAGTGGTCATTTCAGCCTACCGTAGATCTTAAACAGAAAATCTCTAACTCAAGACCACCACTAGAATTCTCATTCCGGGATCAAAGCAGACAGCACCCGATAGAGATGGCTCTTCCAGGACCCCAGACCAGGCCAGTCATACATGATTCTACCCACCAGCTCTTACACTTGGTCTTTCTTTTGACCACTTTGGTTTCATTTACTGATTATATTGCTATCATATTGCTGTTATAACCCATTTTATATTGCGTTATATTGCTATCATAACCTATTTTCTACCTGAACAAAATTCTTGAGAAAACATTCTTCCTTTTCCCACTTCTTCCATCTAACTTCAAAATGAACATACTCAGATTCCTGTCTGCTTACTGCATGACTACCCTATTTGCCTGCCAACACCCCCTATCCATCAATTACCCAACATCACCTACTTAACTGACTGTTTGTTGGATGCACACCTGAGTTAACCATACTCATGAGGAACCAGATTAATGGCTTCGCCCTTAAGCCTTAAAAGCTCACAAAACCTAACTGGACATAATACTGGATTTAAAGTCCTTATTTATTCTCAAACCTTTCTGGTAGGTCAGTGTGTGTGGCCTACTATAAATGCAGTAAGAAAGGTTGAGGCAT